TTTTATTTTTCCTTTAAGTAGGCAACTTGCTTAATTAGCCTATCCACAAATAGATCTCTTTTTTACCTCTCACCTCATTACTTCAGGTGGAATAGAATCAAGCTGTTATATGCCAAGAAATCCTCTTTAACCTGAGTTAACTGTTATCAGGGACAGAAAAAAATGCCAACTTTCTCTCTCTCTTCTTTTCTGATTCTTGTTTTAGAAGAAACTCTTATTTTGTATGCACAGAGTCAGTGCATGGATTATGTTTTAAGGTGAGATTTTTGATACACTTCAAAAAGATTTACATCAAGCCTCAGAATTTCTATTAGAATGTCCAGATTTTTAAATACTTAATGGACTGTTTGTTTAGTTATCCGATTTTCTGTGTTTGATTTCTTAGAAGAAACTGACTGTTCAGAATGATGGCTCATGATTGGAATCAGGTTCAGAATTTTCCATATGTGAGAGGTGCTCGGTTCATTTAAGATGGTTCAGTTATGAAGGGTGGTCCTGGGATGCTGGCCTCAGCACAGTACTGAGATCAAGCCCTTCCATACCTTTCTCATGCCGCCGCATGCCTGAGCCCCTCCACTCATCGCCATCTCCTGCTCCTAGGGTCTGAATATCCAAGGGGATGAGGGGGAAGAAGAGACAATTCTGAAGAAAGGAGCCGATTCTCTTTCTGTCCTTTATAAACCCACTATTTCCCCCATAGTGTTTTATCATTATTGATCTTGACACTCGTTCCAACCACAAGAACTAAAGAAAAGTGTCACGACCCGAGATCAGACACTCTGTGGCTGGGCTTCCCTGCGTGCACTCATCAGTGAGACACGAGAGTCCTGATTGCCATGCCCTGCACCAAGAGAATGCGAAGCCCGTGGATGTGTACCGTTAACTCTCCATCCCAGAGGGGCCGGTGCCTCACCTCCCTGTTCATCAAATCTTCCGTCCTCACGGCTGTCCACTGGCAACTCTGCTCGTTGTTAATACCTCTATTATAACATGGGCAGATATGGAAAGCGAAAATGATTGAGGCAGCATTCCTTGTTAGCAATGTTTAAAAAGCGGTTTAGGTGAAGTGAAAGGTTGAAACTAATAACTAGCCAGTTTCTGGATCATTGGTTCTCTACCTTATTTGTTGAAAAAAAAAAACCACTTAACAATGGAAAGTTTCAAACATTTACGGAAGTGGAGAACATGTACATGTCACCTAGTTTAAACAGTGATCAACTCATGTTGTTTCACCACCTCCCTCCCTTTTTTCCCCCTCCTCCTATATTATTTTGAAGCAAATCCCAGACATTTTAATAACTGGTTTGACAATGCCCTTTTTTGTTCATATTAAGAACTTAGACTCAGCTGCTTAAATTAGGACTATCCTCCCAAAAGTAAGAGAAAAAAACAGTCCACCAAAGTGCACCATGTAGCCAGACAGAAAAATCAATCTACTTAGTAGCTGGAATGATTGGATCATGTGGTCCTGTTCACCAATGCCTTGACCTTGCTCCTCTGCCCTTGTCTGTACCCTCACGGTGGCACTGCCACTGAATCAGTCCTTTAGTTGGAACTTCACTGTAAATGCTAAAACAGCAGTCCCTTTGCCTGTTTAACGTTAGTGTCTAGAAAATTCAATCCAAGTGTAAAGAAGGCTGTGGGTCCCCTTTGAGATCATGTGTGGACTGAGTGTTCTT